ATTCCTAGATCTTTTGAGATTCATTGAATCTTATCAATGACATGTATAATATCAGATTATGCTCTTATATGTGTGACTAGTATATAGATGTGCACAAACAAGATGTGGATAACCATGCAAACCTGCATGACATATTCGAGGTCATTTATGATCTCACATTGATGTACCAGTTAACCACATACGCTCCATCAACAATTATAATTTCCGAGTTGTGCCACCATTTCATCTTTATAGTCCCAAATTAGTGTGCTGGTTAACCACACACATTTCACTAACGACTCATAAAGAAACGATGTGTGTTTTCATGGATTAGCACACATTTTATATTTTTCCTAAAGTAACTAGAGTGGGATTTTGTAAAGGGGTTATGTTACTTTATATCATACTTTTAATCCCATCAAAACCGTTTAGCTAACGACCCTCCACCACACAAAGAAGCGGTGGTGAAAAGGACACCCATTCAACAGTAATTGTATAGGTCGTTTCCTTATACATCTCTTAAAGTGTGGCTTCGTGAATGAGTCCTAGTATTGAATTGATTGGCTTTTAATTATACATATAATATTAGGGTTTTATATGTATAGGGTGTATTTTAAACATATTAAAATTCCAAAGTTTAAATATTAATTATCTAAATTAACTATTAATTAATTAATCTTTAAAACCCTTATATGATTTATCTTTATCCTTTAATTAAATAATTAATTAAATTAATTGAATCATATAATCCAATTTTGGATTTTATATTTATCATTTGATTAACTTTTAATTAATTTAATATTAATATCCATAAAGGATAATAGTAATCAATTATCTTATAATTAGGATTGGGTTTCCTTATTTAATTTCTTAAATTTAGGATTAGGGTTATAATTTCACCAAGAATTATAGAAATCGGATTTCATGAGTTAAAATATCAGATAATGACAAAAATAAACCCTACAATTGAATTAGGCAAGTCAAACACCAAAAAAATGAAATTTCAAAAAGCACGGCACGCCCTACGATATTTGTGTGTGTGTGTGTTTTCTAGGTTTCATCTATTATGCACTTTTAATTGTAAGACATGGCTCTGGTACCACTGATGAAATTCGTAGGCTACAAGTTCTATGTACATGCGGAAGAACACATAAAATACTTAACGGTACATGCAACCTAAATGATCTATGTCTTTACACATTAATTACAACATACTATGAAACTATAAGAACCCTATGTTATAATCAAAAATTACAAGTTTGGGTTACATACCTTTGATATTTTTATAGAAAACAATACCCTTGATTCCATTGTAGAACTTCAGAAAACTTAGTACCAAAAGTATGATGCCTCTACTGGCTCACACTCAAACCCTATAAACTAGAAGACTTTTGAGGAGAGAGGAGGAGAGAGTAATTTTTCAGCTAAGGCTTCACAAGGGAGAGATGGCCAAAAATACAAGGGTTATGACCCTTTATATAGCTGCATTGAAACACTAGAAACCTTAGATTTGAGCATAAAATAATATTATTTCAAATCAGTAAATATCCAGTTTCCTTTTACTAGAGGCTTCTAAAATTTCCCTTTAGGGATCCCCACAACCATCCAACCCTGCAAGGTTCTAGAATCCTTCCTTTGTTCAACTATTAAACAATTATAGTTCACTCCTTGTACTTTTAATTAATTCCAATTAACTCAAAATTAATTCCGAATTAATTCTGATTAATTCTCAATTAAATATTATAATTTTAACTAATCTATTATTCATATAACAAACTAGTAAATTATTTCCTTTTTCTCCAAATATCATTCTATACCATTTATAGCTATGAGGGTAACCTAAAAAGGACTCTGCTTTTAATTAGAAGAATATACGAATTTAGTTATGACCTTAGACACCTTAATCCAGCTAAAGTAACTTGCAGGATCATTATGCAGCATTGTTTTGTGTTTGATTCATGGACGTAATCATCCTAAGGGGGAGATAATTGTAATGCATGTAACTTAGGGCTAGATGATTTGTGTAATTATATTCATTTTATTGAATAATTTAATCCTCGAATAAGATAATTGTTAGTCGTGCGCGTTAAAAGACTATAAAGACCATTTTTGACTAAGCGATAGAAATAACATTTTTGATCAAAGATTATTGATGATAAATAATCTCGATGAGAGTTGTAGTAGTCATAATGATGACTTCGTGGGTATATAGAACGCTCAAATCTGACTTCGTATAAAAAATTTATGATTGTTCGAAGTTTCGCGTTTGGCCCTATACGACAAAGTTCGTCGTAAATTAGAATTGAAGATAGGTTGCTTTACAGCCTAAGCAATCTAAACGAATGTCTTAGTAATTGTAAATGCGAGAACGTGCATATAAAGAACAACTAAATTTAACTTCCTACGAGGAAGTTATGCTTTTTCGAAGTTTTTGTCCAGTAGTGTGCGATACAAAAATCGAAATATAAATAAGTTGAGTGTTAGCCAAAACAATGTAAACGAAATTTGATCTTGTAAATACCAATCCTTCAATAAAAAGATAGTCGATAACGGGTGTCGTATGAAAAAGTTGTGATTTTTATATGGACTTTAACAGTATAAGCTTATAAAAATATAACTTTAAAAATAAATTGAGAATTAGCTAATAGAGTCTAAATGAAAGTTGTAGTACTTGTCAATAGCTACGCGTGGATATAAAGAACGTAAAAACAGAGCTCGTATTAGAAAGATATGATTTTAAAAAAAATAATTAAAATTTTATGTGGCACGCCTAGCTTCTAGAAGAGCAACACGGACTAGGGAAAAGGCGACACGTGGCAGCAAAGCGGAGGATTGAAGTCACTAGAGGGTGCGACGCGCCTATGGATTTGACTTGGTATTCACTAGAAAGTTTGTATGTTAAGCTACAATTCTTATGTTTTAAGTGTAACTGATGTTTAAGTTCAATATCGTTTTTATGAACCTATAATCAAGATTTATCAGTGATCGTATGTCATAATACTAATTGATCTACTTATGGGAGTGATGTATAGGCTAGATCTAGTGAGATGTTTAAAGGTTGATTTCCAAACTGTATACTCTGTTATATCAAACGGACCATACCTCTGATATGATCTTACCTGGTTATTTCTTATTTGATATATCTCGATGTATTCATTGGGATTGTTGAGGAATCCAGGAAATAGTATAAATACGAACGAATACTGAAGCATAACAATATTCGTATTCAGGTGACTTTCATAAACATGATTTTAATACAAGTATTAATTAAAGTTTATATGTGAATTATATACTTATTGATTGGAATATATGTTAGATGTATATTTGATGACATACAATGTGCGAACAAGTATGGTTCTATATGTGTTAAGATATATATATATATATA